GGGTCTCGGGGAGGACCCCGGCCGCCATGGCTGCCACCACGGGGGCCACCCCATAGACCGCGGGGGGCAGGAAGGGGTAGTACTCATCCATCATCTTCACCAACGGCGCCACGATGCCACCTACTCGGGCCATGGTGCTACCAAAACCCAACCCGGTCTGCCTGCCGGTGCCACGGGGTGGTCAACGTGGGGTGAGGACCCACCTTGGTGGTGTCAGGGGTGGGACCTGCCCCGTGGTGGGGTCACGGGGACGGGGTTTTACCTGATGGGGGTGGGGTAGAGCTCGGTGGTGTAGAGGAAGACGCAGTTGAAGGAGGCAGAGAGACAACCCTTGCCGATGACGGCCAACGCCGTGCGCACCGTCTGGAGCTCTGGGGTGGAGAGAGGGACCAGGTGGACAATGGGTTTGGGGTGGAGGCACCTCAACGATGGGGTGATGGTGGGATGGAGAAAGAAGGGAGAATGTAGGGATGGACAAGTGGATCATTGGATGGGTGGTTGGAGATGTGGATGGGTGGTTGGAGATGTGGATGGGTGGTTGGAGATGTTGGAGACATGGATGGGTGGTTGGAGATGTGGATGGGTGGCTGGAGATGTGGATGGGTGGTTGGAGATGTGGATTTGGAGACATGGTTGGGTGGTTGGAGACCTGGATGGTTGGACAGATGGTTTTTAAACATCATGAAGGATGGTGACTCATCATCTCACCACCTACTTATCCATCTGGACATCATCTTGGGTCACCAGCTCTAGGTGACCCTGCTTGAGAAGGAGGGTTGGACCAGATGACCCCCAGAGGTCCCTTCCAACCTCAACCATACTGTGGGGAAGTGTGGGGATGGATGGAGAGGTGGGTGGTGGGATGGGTGGATGGATGGATGGAGAGGTGGGTGGTGGGATGGATGGATGGATGGGGAGGTGGGTAGATCCATCATTCAATGGCTGGAGAAGGGAGGGATGGATGAAGAGTTGTGTGAAGGATTGGTGGGGACATGGGTGGCTGGATGAGGGTGAAGAAGACCTCCCCATCACCCCATCACACCTACCTGTGGAGACAAAGATGTTGGCAATGATGACCAGCCCTGCCAAGAAGAGGGCCACCATGAGTGACACCCGCCGGCCGATGTAGCTCAAGGAGATGGTCACCACCACTTTGGCCGGGAAGTCAACGGCACCAAAAATCACCTGGATGAGGTAAATGCTGACACCAAAGTTCTGCAGATCCATGGCCAGGCCGTAGTAGGAGAAACTGATGGAGAACCTGGAGAAGAGGAGAGAACGGCGTGGACCTTGAGGTGATGTGACCTCCCTGGGATGTCACCATGGCATGGGACAGGGCAGGGACCTCAGGGGGAGGAGAAGAGGGCTGTGGTGCAGTTGGATGGTTGGATTCTCTGAGTGTCCAGCTGGCCATCTTTCCAGTCATCCAGCTGTCCTTCTGACCAGCTCTCCAACCACCTGTCCATCCATCTGTCCGTCCAACCAACCATCCAACCATCCATCTGTCCATCCATCTGTCCATCCAACCAACCATCCAACCATCCATCTGTCCATCTGTCCATCCATCCAACCATCCAAACATCTATCCAACCATCTTTCTAACCATCCATCTGTCCATCCAACTAACCATCCAGCCATCCATCTGTCCATCCATCTGTCCATCCATCCAACCATCCAAACATCTATCCAACCATCTTTCTAACCATCCATCTGTCCATCCAACTAACCATCCAGCCATCCATCTGTCCATCCATCTGTCCATCCAACCAACCATCCAGCCATCCACCTGTCCATCCATCTGTCCATCCAACCAACCATCCAGCCATCCACCTGTCCATCCATCTGTCCATCCAACCAACCATCCAGCCATCCATCTGTCCATCCATCTGTCCATCCAACCAACCATCCAACCATCCATCTGTCCATCCAACCAACCATCCAACCATCCATCTGTCCATCTGTCCATCCATCCAACCATCCAAACATCTATCCAACCATCTTTCTAACCATCCATCTGTCCATCCAACTAACCATCCAAACATCTATCCAACCATCCATCTGTCCATCCAACAAACCATCCAACCATCTGTCCATCCAGCCAAACATCCATCCAACCATCCTTCTTCCATCCATCCCACCTTCCAGCCATCTCTCCAACTCTCCACCCACCTTCCCATCCCTCCACCCCCTCACTCATCCCTCTCTCCTCTCCTCTCCCTCAGCCCCACCAGACTTCCCCAGCCCAGTCCCACCAGACGATGGAGAGGCAGAAGAAGATGTGACGGATGACCGGGGTCCGGACCAGGTCGGAGATGGTGTAGGAGGACTTCAAACCAGCCAACTCCTCCTTCATGTTGGACTTCAGATTCTGAGAGAGGGAGAAATGGGAGAGGTTTGGTGATGGATGGAGGTGGGAACCCAAGTCCCACCTCCCACCATGGGGCCACCATACCTCCACCGTGATCTTCTCCCCTTCCTCCTTCCTCTTGTTAATCCTGGCCACCCTCTGTAGGACCTTCACAGCCCTCTCGGCCTTCCCCGAAAGCACCAACCAACGAGCAGACTCGGCCAACCACCTGCAGTCAACCAGAGGGAAACTGAGGCACGGAGAGAGCTCCACATGTCCCCATGGTCTTCTTCTTCACCCACGTGTCCTACCAGGAGTAGAGGAGGAAGACAAAGAAGGGCAGAGAGACGGTGAGCTGGAGCCAGCGCCAGTGGGGGACGGCGTAGGCCACGCCAGCCAGGAGGATCTGACCCAGGGTGTAGGCGAAGCCGGTGATGGCCACGGTGATGGCGCGGTAGGGGGTGGGGATCCACTCCACCACTGCAAGAGACCATGGGGACATGGCTGACTTGATGTTCACCACGGCCCTTGGGGGCATCCACATCCATGGCCATGGCAATGTTCCTCTCCATGGCCATGGTGATGTCCACATCCATGGCCATTGGAACATCCATGGGCATTGCAATGTTCTTTGCCATGGTGATGGCCACATCTATGGCCACTGGGACATCCATGGCCATTGGGTTATCTCCATCTATGGCCATGGCAATGTTCTTCTCCATGGCCATGGTGATGTCCATATCCATGGCCATTGGGTCATCTCCATCTATGGCCATGATAATGTTCCTCTCCATGGCCATGATGATCTCATCTGATAGCCACATCTATGGCCACTGGGAGATCCATGGCCATTGGGTCATCTCCATCTATGGCCATGATAATGTTCCTCTCCATGGCCATGATGATCTCATCTGATAGCCACATCTATGGCCACTGGGAGATCCATGGCCATTGGGTCATCTCCATCTATGGCCATGATAATGTTCCTCTCCATGGCCATGATGATCTCATCTGATAGCCACATCTATGGCCACTGGGAGATCCATGGCCATTGGGTCATCTCCATCTATGGCCATGATAATGTTCCTCTCCATGGCCATGATGATCTCATCTGATAGCCACATCTATGGCCACTGGGAGATCCATGGCCATTGGGTCATCTCCATCTATGGCCATGGTGATGTCCACATCCATGGCCCTTGGAACATCCATGGCCATGGCAATGTTCTTCGCCATGGTGATGGCCACATCTATGGCCACTGGGACATCCATGGCCATTGGGTTATCTCCATCTATGGCCATGGCAATGTTCTTCTCCATGGCCATGGTGATGTCCATATCCATGGCCATTGGGTCATCTCCATCTATGGCCATGATAATGTTCCTCTCCATGGCCATGATGATCTCATCTGATAGCCACATCTATGGCCACTGGGAGATCCATGGCCATTGGGTCATCTCCATCTATGGCCATGGTGATGTCCACATCCATGGCCCTTGGAACATCCATGGCCATGGCAATGTTCTTCGCCATGGTGATGGCCACATCTATGGCCACTGGGACATCCATGGCCATTGGGTTATCTCCATCTATGGCCATGGCAATGTTCTTCTCCATGGCCATGGCAATGTTCTTCTCTATGGCCATTGGAACATCCATGGCCATTGGGTCATCTCCATCCATGGCCATGGCGATGTTCTTCTCCATGGCCATGGTGATGTCCACATCCATGGCCATTGGAACATCCCTAACCCATTGGGTTGTCCCCACCCGTGTCCCCATGGTCCCCTTGTCCCCTCACCCAGGCAGGCGATGCTGAGGCCGAAGCCGGAGAGGGCCATGCCACCGGCGAAGCGGAAGACGCAGTAGGACGCGTAGTTGGGGGCGAAGGCCGTGCAGGTCCCCATCACCCCCAACTGCAGGTAGGACCACATCAACATGGCCTTGCGCCCAAACCTGCAACGGGGAGACACTGGGAGTCACTGGGTGCCACCGGGTGAAGGTCCCATGTCCCATGGGGATGGGTCTCTTCTGTCCTTACTTGTCCGAGAGGCCACCAAGGACCAGGGCGCCCACCAGGACTCCAGCCATGTAGATGGACTGGGCCATCTGCCGGAGCTGCCGGTAGCTGCAGACGAGGTCCCACTATGGGGACAGGGATGAGCTGAGGATGAGTTGTCTTCTCCTTCCACCCATCAGTCCTTCCTCTGTTCTCCTCTCCATCCATCCACCCATTCCACCACCTCCATCTTGCGTTGTCCCTATTGCCCCAGCTTCCCCCCTACGGCTCCATCTCCACCCCATGTGGCTCCATCTCCATCCCTCCATCTCCTGTGGCTCCATCTCCACACCTCAACCCCATATGGCTCCATCTCCACCCCTCCATCTCCATATGGTTCCACCTCCATATGGTTCCATCTCCATCCCTCCATCTCCACATCTCAACCCCATATGGCTCCATCTCCACCCCTCCATCTCCTATAGATCCATCTCCACCCCTCCATCTCCATATGGTCCCATCTCCATCCCTCCATCTCCATATGGT